ACGAGAAAAATCAACTTACTAACATCTATGTTTACAACACACGAAAACACTGCTACTTTGACAGAGATCAGTTGAGAATGGCGGATGTCCCGTGCCGCCCGCCCGGTCGGTGTGCAGTGCTCCCGGTCGGTATGGGCGTCACGGCAGCTCGGAAATGTCCTGGAGTTCTGTCTTCCGGACTTTTTAACAAACTTTTAAAAATTGCCGTGCCGCCCGCCCGTCCGTGCCGTGCCGCCGTAGTGCGCGCGCAGCTTAATAGTTATAGCCGCCTCATGTAATGTTCGTATATTCCATAAAAAGAGCTAAAGATGAGGTTTTGGAAGCTTGTTTAAAATTCCACCTTTTAGAACATGTTTGTTCAAGTTGCAAAAGCAAATTTTCAATGTTGTAGAAAAAACACTTTAAGTTACAAAATTAAAAAATAATTAAATGTTTTTGAAACAAAAGCTTTTGGTCTGTTAAACACAAAGAACCAATTAACAAAATATTGAACCTAGGTTATTTTTAGTCTGGTCATTAAGCATTGACAACACCGCACAGATAAATGTTTTAGATTTGCTAAATTACCACTAAGCAGCGGTTGAAACCAAACAAATTAACAGCTGATCCACATGAGCCAAAGTAAGTTAGCGATAAGGCCTAGTGCCAAAAGTAGTGATTTTTGGCCCTGGGCTACAAAACCGCTCTTTTATCATATGATGTTTCAAAAACAGCTGATAACATTTAAATCATGATGGATTGAGATTTAAATCATGATGATATTGATTTGTAATACGAAAACTCTAATCCTTATATATTATACGTGAAAGTAACTTCTACGAAACACTACTCCTCCCTTGATAATTTACGGATTTTTACAAACAATTTGTCAAAGTTAAGTATTTTTTGTGTGGACTTTCATCCCCCCTCTTTCACCAATTCCTGTAATAAAATTGCCCCACAGGCCACCATAAACCCAATGTATTTCTTATGAAAAAAAGATTTTGTTTACTTAAACAGACGAATAGTTTGTATTAAACCAATTAAAAATATTATTAGTTTGCATACTAAAACAGATGTTCATAGTAAATACATGATACACTCAAGAGCGTTCGTTTTCAGTTTAGATAACCAAGTGTAACCGATTACATTATCTTTGTGTTAACTCTTTTAAGTCATCGGAAATTATGACTGTTAATCGTTTAAAAAAATGCCTGTAATATTTTGCAATTGCGTGAATTCAAGCAACAGGTGCACTAGTATAAAATAATATTAAAAGTTACTAAAGAGAATACGTCAGGTAGTATAAATACACCGTCTTGAGTGCTGATATAAACATGAATTGCATGTTGAACACTTGCCACAGCCAGTATGATCCAGATAACGTGGAAGTTGGTAATTTCCCACTTATTATGACACTCGAGTAGCAACGAGCCAATTCATAAAATTGCTGAAGTGATTCATCAGTAAGATTAAAACATTACTTGTATTGCACCATGTTATGAATAGCATCAATCAATAATATACAGACAGTAAATGATAGGACAATCCAAAGAAAAGGTAACATACAGACGTAACACATGGCTTTTAACACGTTTGCTGCTACGGACGTTCTGGAACGTCAGCGGGGCCACGGCGCCATGAGCTAGAAACGTTCCAGAACGTCACCGTTCATTGTTGTTTAACGTTTCCATGGACCAGCCAGCTCGTCACGAGCGTCCTATATTTCTTTGCAGCTCGTGGGGACGTACTTTTCTGACAATAAAAAATATAGTTTCCCAAAATCACCACCGGGGCTGTATAGAATAGAACTTTGTCCCACCTTTTTCCTGCTAGATAGCAACACTACTTTACCGACTGCAACCTGGGTAGTGCTGCTATCTATCAGAATCGCTTGGTACTATGTCCAAAGCCAGTTTTATTGCAGAACATTGCTATCCAGTATAACTACTATTGTTTACTCTGGCATTTTGTTTAGAGTTTTAATGACTTTGGCATAATAAATTTTCATTAAAATCGCTGAAGTATTTTTGTGAAAATCCAAGATTTAAAAAAAAAAAAAAAAAAACGTCTGGAGGTACTACCAACATACCAAATTTCATTAAAATCTGTAGCTTCGTACACATACACACAGGGACATCAATTCGAACACTTTTTTTTAGTTCATAGGGGCCCAAAACAGACATTTCCACCTAAAACTAAAACTCGAAAATGTGTAAGGAAAGGGGGTAAAATGTTGGACAGTGTGATCAACTTAACGCGGTATCATAAGTAAATCAGTGAAGTTTGCGGCAAATTATGATTGGAGTCTGCTACATTCTGTTTACATAATCATAGACATTGAACTGACAATGTCGCTATAAGCTGTGAGCTGCTGGTATTACTGCTGAAGGTCACGGTTATCTCTGGTTAGTACTGAGTCATTAGCATGCGCTTGTTAACTGCTGTCTGTGCTTTTCTAATCAACCCTATCATTTGAGTCTGCGCTTTTCTATTAATGCTGCTTTTCTATAGTAGCAACATCAATACCGATTAATTTTAGTTAGGGCTTGGTTGACACTTATTAGCATTTGAAATTAAATAATTAAAAAGGTAATTTACATGACCTATGAATGGTAGTGACAAGGTCCTGTATTGCAATTGGGCCGCCCTACAAAATTTAATTTTTTGTTTGGCGTGGTATTTTACAAATAATTTTTATATTGAATCTTTAAAGAGTTTTAATTGTCTTATTATGGTAAATTACCCCTTTTTTGCATAAATTGGTCTACCAAAGACTACTATGAGATTTACTGACCTTAAGTCGTAATTATTGAATCCTTCTTAATACATTTCCTAAATACATGGGTGAGTTGGTAGCGTCACAGACTTCGGGCACAAGGCAGCGAGGTCGTGGGTTCGGATCATGATAACTGCAGCAAACATTTTATCAGTTCAGTTCACCTTTTTACTGTACCGGCTCACCCCTTTAGTTATCTAGATACGTTCCACACACGGGCAAATTCAAGGTTAAAAGAGGCTGCCAACCTCTTAATTAAAGCGTTGATAAAAAATCATCAGCACAGCTGACAATTCTATATAAAAAAAAATATTAGAACCAAAACATTTCAATCCTGTGAAGTGGACCCCTAAGAGACGTTAAAATTGAATGACAATAGGTATGTGTATTACGGTTGCAAACAAATTTTATTTTAAGGTTTTACTTAATCAGTGTAGCAGTTTTGTGTAATTAAATAAGTACCGATTTGCAAGAATTAAAGAGTGTAAAAGTCTTAATATTTGGAGTGGCAGAAACAGCAAGGTTGTTAGTGAGCTAAGGTCATCGCACTTCTAAAACAACAAAGTTTGTAATGGAATTCTCATAAGTGCAAGATTAGCCAAACAGGTTTAGTGTCTGACCTTGACTTACTTTGCTGAATTGTCAACTTCTGCTTGAAAACTTTCTCTTTAGTCTTGTTTCATTCTCCTCTGTTGCCCATTATTTCCCAGTTATGTTAAAAAATAATTTTTTTGTAGCAATGATCTTCAATGTTATTTTTTAACTTTATAGAGTTTGCAAAAAACAAAAATAGTATTGGAAAGGTGGTAGTCAATAATGTTATGATACAAACAAATTATGACAAATCTCTCTTCCGGCTTTACAGTTGTCCCTCAATAATTTGACATTTTGTATTGTGACATACTCCATAGTCTGAAGCGCCGCCTGCAACCTTATCGGCATAAATAAACCAAGCCTGCAGTGAAATGAACTTTCCTTCCACCAAATATACACTCACTGTATTGTGTAGCGTAGTATCATTGATTATATATACCTACAGGTATACCTATAGGTATATATAGTCAAAGGTAGTATTAATATATAATATTTACTGTTTTGTACTTTGGTAACTTCATCGTTTTTATATTTTCCCAATGGTTAATCAATACTGCATTAGAAAATAGTGGTCATATTTTATCTTGGTTAAATAAAAAAAATAATGTAGATAATCCACCATTATCGATTATCCAACACCCCTTTGTGGATTAATGTCCGCACTAGTGAGTAATACGACTGTCCGCAGAGCTATCCTGATAATTAGACTAATTCTTTAATTACTAGGCAAAAATGTGGTTCGGATTCTATTAGAACCCCCCCCCCCCCCTAGTTGCCATTGACTGTATGGGCTACTAAAAAACAGCTGTGTCTAAGGAACATGTCGGCCTTAGTCACTAACAACACTACAAGATCGCACCACTCAACCTACACTCATATTTGGGCTAAAATATGCACCTAGTGGCGTCCCCATAGTAATTAATTGATATAATTGATAGAAATCAGCTATGTTGTATGACCATCGCAGTTTTGGAATGGCATGATGTCTATGATAGTCTCAGGTAACAAATCTATGATCTTGTTAAGATTGTTAAAAGTAAATGTATCAAGATGATTTCTGTACAAATTCACTTGAGGAAATTTTTTTTTCTGTTTTATTGTGATTTTGTTGGTCTGATGAGACATAGCCTATTGTACTATAATGTAATTAATGGCCGGGTAAAGGTGAATTCACACATATCATTTACGGCACATCACAGGTTAGAAACAGCTAAAAAATTAGATAAAAATTATCAGCAGTCAAAAAAATTATCCTTTAATCGATTTTCTAAAATTGGGATATCTACATTCATTGGACGCAGGTGTGTCATTCGCTTTTCCGGCGTCCTCCATTTAATTTCAGATTTCTTCCGGCCGATATATTTGGATTGTTCAGACGCCAGTTGGACGTGTTTGTGGTTAGAAAATAGTATTTTTGTTATTTAAATGATTGTGTCTATATTTTAACAATCAAAAGATGGACGATAAAACTTGATAGGATAAAAACTATTGACTGTAACATCACTGTAAATACAGTGACGAAAGACTGGCTGAAACCAACAGACGGACAGTTGACTGAGGAATTGCAGATACAACTGAGACTGAACTGTCACTGAACTATGTGTGGCAACTATTATGACTGCTAAAAGCCAGAGTTTTTCTGTTTCAGTCATGGGACTCGTTCTTCCGTAGCAGCTCCGCAGGTGCCGCCCCAGGCCAGGCGTACCAGTCTCCTCCAAGCCTTGCCGAGCCCGCACGCAACACTGTGCCTCTGTCCGCCCTGGTACCTCAGTTCTCTGGGGGTATGGCTGCGTCCGGTGGTCAGATCAACGAGAAGATCATAGACGACCATCTTGCAGTTCAAGCCATCATCCGATCCTACCAGGTATCAAACACTTCTACGGTGACACTTAAGTTAGCTTAGGTTGAACAGTGATAATAATGCAGCAGAAATTTGTAGTAGGTTGTTCCTACGTTTTGTGTGGTTATCTTCTTATACGATGGTTTACATTTTTAGCCATTTCAATTCTCGGAGGATCAAACTCATCAACATTGATTGTATGTAACAACATTTTGTGTTTTTTTTTTTGTCCAACTGAATTTGATGGAGCAAACAATTAAATAGATTTCATACTAGAAGAACCCTGTCAACTATTTTCAGAATTAGATTTTGTGTTTACTTTACAAAGTTTTAGATTTTAGGATGACAGTAATCAAAAAATTAAAAACGACTATTTTAGATTTATCTGAACAAAATAATCACTACATTTGAACCATTAAACAAAGAAAAAAAATTGGTCCAAAACTGTCTCACCCTTAGTTCAGTTAATTGGTATGGAGGTTTACCGTATTTGTGAATTTACTAATGTCATATAATAGGATTTTTATACTATAACTCATGTTATGTAAAAGATACAATAACCGTCCCATTGTATACCGTCAGGGAGGCATTCTTTAGTTTTTGACCAAATCTCATATGCCATACAAAATATGTTTCTCGTACACAGCCTTTTCTAAAAATTCCAACTATGCTTCTTCTGTCGCTGATTTAGAAGATTAATGCTGGTCTAGTTCTACAAAATTAAAAACCTCTTCAGTAGCTTCAGAGTGCTTTGTAATCTCAGTGATGGTAAACCTTCATTAACAAAAATCACATATTTGTTTGTATTTCAGTACAGTATATCCGTAATGCAAGATTTGTTTTATCATCCTAATCTCAGCAGTTGTCTCTAGATTACACCTCATGTTCATTTCCACTTATCAGTTATTTGCTTGATGACATTCACTAAACTTCTGAGAATTCGGGCAGATTACCAAAATGTTTTACTGTAGGCCTGCTATGTTATGGAAGCTTGTTAGATTTATTCTTAAAGTACGATGAATAAGATGTTATTTCAAACTGTGACAGTTAAAACAAAATTATATCTCAATTTCGTGTTAGTTGTCTGTTTGAGTCATCATAATCTGTGATTGATACTGTTTCATTAAAATTATACTTGGGAAGTACCTTTTGTCTAAAGATTACAGCTCTTTCATTTTACTAATACAGAATCTATTACTGTATTGTTATTGTCATTGGTAGAAATTATAACTTCCTCAATATTTCTGATAAATTAGTTCAAACCCACCTGAAGAATTTACCTTACTCCCACGAAGAACATCATTGTTTTATTTGTAAACATTATTTTCAGGGACTAATACAACTTGTTTAGTTTACTGAGCCAAAGTTGGTAATGTTTTAAAACTACACCAAGAATGGTAATCAATAAAAAATTATCATTCTAATATTTTTTTAAGGTGTGATAGAAAATATTTTATTTGTTTAAGCTACATTATAAAACATCTCATTTGTTACCACTCTACATCCATGTTCATTTTCATGCCATTTTGCATGGTATCATTCATAACGAAGGCAGTTGTTAAGTCTTTAAGCATGTCTTTCTGTCGATTATTTTATTGTGATGTTTATCAATAATAAGTAATTGGTTGAGGGTTAGACAAATGAACTTATCATAAGCCTGACTTGCGATACAATGGCTCGAAACACCTAGTTAACAATAAATAAGATCGCATTAACATTGTTATGATGCCAAAGTTTAATAAACCCCTAAAATAGTTTTTTCCTAAATATTTTAATAATTATTTAGTGTTACTTGTTAAAAGTTTACATATTTAAAAATCCATCAAGTATAAAATTACTAACATCGGATGTTGTCTGAAAATTGATTCAATAAACATTCGTTATGTTTAAGTGATTATATTTTTACAGAATAATTTCTCATTTTGTCTATTGTTTGCTATATAACAACATCTACAATGGAATTACAATTGAGATGTTTGCATGAATGACTAACTTTACTGTGTCAATTAATAATATATATCTTTACTACTATGAGAAATTGTTTATTTAATTCAAACATATTGTATATGTATGTATTAAACTCTAAAATTCCAATTTGTATTAACTGTCTCTGGTCTTTTAAACTATTTAGTACTTGTTAAGAAATTTAATTGATGACAACAAATATTTAATTTTGTTCATGTTTTGTAGACATTCAGATTTTTTTTTTATTTTCCTGAAGACAAAAATAACCCACAATGCTAGTTTATAGTTATGTATTTGATTAATTATTCAATATTGCACTTTTGCCTATTTTTTTTAACTTTTACATCCTTAACATAGTAGAAAATGGAGAGACCAAGTTAACAAATTGGGATTAGGGTGTTCAATATTTGAGAGCACTTCTCAATGTAGAGTTTTATTTATTAATGGACTTCTGGACTGCAAAAGTATTAAGTTATTTTACAAAATATAGTAAATACTACAAACAGGATTCATTGGAAATCTCTCGTAATCAGCTACTACAGCTTTAAATTGAATTAATCATGAGTTACTATTCCAAAATGATTTAATGGAGGTGAATAGAACCTAAGCTCTCTAACTTTACCTTTAACTTGGATTAAAACATAATCTTTAAACCTCTTAGTATTTAATCAAGTTTGGCAAGTGCCCTCAAGTGATTGGTGTAAGGTGTGTTGAGCATGTTGGTTTTAGGCCCGAGGTCATCTCGTAGCCGAACTGGACCCTCTCGGCATCACTTACGCAGACCTTCACAGCAAGTACTCGGACAAGACTGGCGTACATCCACATCAGATCGTGCTTCGGCAGCATATGTTGCCGGGTAAGACCCCTCTCCCATCCCCATCCATCCATGTCAGAACTACCAATATCTCTCAGATAAAATCAAAGAAATATAAGAATATGTTTGGAATTTTTCTGGTGTTAAAATCTAAATTTTTTATGCAAATCGACCGATAAAACATTGGGAAAGTGATCGCAGCAATATCTAGGAGCATCATTGTTATTACGGCAAAATTGTAATTTTATGATATTTTTATATTGATTAAAATTATAGGATTGTAGTGATAACTGAAAGCATGGATTTAAATCTTTTAAAGACAATAAAAATACTTTTTTCGTTCTCTACTAATTATATATTTCTTTTAAACAATTAGAAACAGTGACGGTCTTATTGTAAGGCTTTAAATGTAATCTACAATATGAAAGCGTAGGTATGACAAACATGACAGGGACTTGTGTGATTAATTGTTGAATTGCGCTGTATCCTAGTTTATTATTTGTTGTCACATACATATTCATGACAGTAAAAAAGAACAATACTAATTTTTCCAGCATTGGTTGGTTTCTGAAATTTTAGCCAAAATCTTGCAAACACATTCTTTGCTTTAACAATATTTGATTGTTTTTTTTACAATATTGTAAAAAAACACATAGATTCAAGGCCACATTTCTATAATTTTAAACCCCCCTTCCCCAGATTTATCTCTGACCCTTCTTCCCTTATCCACCCACAGATTTGAGAAGGAGAAGTTTTCCGTCAGTTAGTATTTCTACTTAACTATCGCTTCACACTCTTTCAGCTCTCTCATTAACAGCTGAGCCTCATCCTGTAAATATCTACATCTTCACAGAACTGCTTAGTCGTAATGTAGATTAATCCTAATCACAGTTTATAGGGAGTTGGAAATCTGTTATTAATTGCATGGACTTTTACAGGGGTTCGACTAATCTTGGTGGTGGTATTGCTAATTTGTGCTGTCCTCTGTCGTTTTGGGTTTATTGTTTGTTATTAATACTTCATCAAACTTCATCATCGATTCACTAGCTCTAAGAACAAAATATTTATTTTATTTACAGGATCTGTATACATCGAATGTGTAAGTTGATTTGTGCGAGTATGTGTTGGTTTTAGATGGTTAATGTTTCATTAGTTTTAGACTTGTATCATAAAAATATTCCCAGTGTGTGCAGTGGTGTAATTTTTAGTGTTGTCCTAGTTTATTTTTGGAGTGGAAGGTTTAAGAATTATCTTAGAATCCAATTTTGCACTGCAAACCGCAATTATAAAGGAAAAACTTGTAAAATATCGTGTTGTACATATATACATTGTGTTGGGTTATGTTATAATTAATTGTGTTTATCAAGTAATACTGCGTACAACTCTTCTGGTCAAAAACGTATATATTCTGTTAGGTCGCCTAGATTTTTTCATTGATGCATTTTATTTGTTCTGTGTGACTGGACAGTTTTAACATTAAACTGAAATTAGTCAATAGTATGTGGATTCTGTCACCAAATCTTTTTAAGGTTCTTTGACAAATTTTTTTTTTCGATATTGAGGCAAGACTCATGGCTCCACAATACAAATCAAACTGTCAAAAAAACACATATTACATTTTAGCAAGGTATTTTATATAAAAAAAAGAAATAAGAGTTCAGCTAGCTTCCTGAAAATTAGTGTCCAGGGGATAATAGATGCACAATAAAAGAACACAAAACAACACTGATATTTCATCCTGAAGTAGGACTTCTTCAGAGTAGGTTGAAGGATGATCTCAATACGAAATATAGTGTTATGATTTGTGTTCCTGTGGACTAAAATTGTCTGGTGAGCTAGCTGAATAATATTCCTTTTCAAAAAACTTATCACTAGCCAATCAGATTCCTTATAATTTCTCTGAAGCCTAGTCTGACATCTAACAACAATGTTTAGGTGAAATTTTTTTTGGTAGATGTAATGTGAGGAAGTTTTGAGTTGTTGTGAAAATGTTTAATGCGAATGGCAATATGGGTCTGACGCAGTGTGCAGTAGTAACCAGTAGTAGTGTGAGGGTGATGTGTGTGTGTTGTCAGATCAGAGGGCATCACATAGCCAAGCTGGACCCTCTGGGTATCAACAGCGCAGACTTGGACGATCGTCACCCACCGGAACTACTCTACAGCCATTACTCTTTTGGTAAGCGAGAGTAAACAATCAGAAACTATAAACTTGACGAGTAAAATTATACAAAATTCACAATAACTGTGTCAGGTTCTAAGAAAAAACACATTTAGAAACTACATACAAGACAAATAGTGTAGACTCTCAAGTAGAAAACATGACAAGTAGACATGTAAAGAACATGACAAGTAAAGCCAACTACATGACAATATCCCAGAAAACAACGCTCATTAAATTAAAAAATGCCAAATAAAATACAATTCCAAGAAATTTTAATGTTACAATAAATAAAAACTTTATAAACCTTACAAATGGACACATCAAGGCAAAAAAAGTCAAAGAAATTGAGATGAAGATTTGAGTAGGAGAATAATACACTGTCGAATAACCTCATGTCAACATGACGAACACGTAACAAAAACCTGAGAAATAAGGACATTTAATAAAATCACGCCATTAAAATATTAAATAAATCTCAACAAGCAAGCAAAAATAGAAGTGAATTGTAAAACTCAAAACCATAATAGTAGGTATAGCATAAACTTTTTAAATGAAATAATAACTTTAATTATCAGTAAGAATGTAAATTGTTTACTTGAATCCAAAACATGAAACTTTCCATTGTAATAACCAAACTACCTTTGTTAGGTTTTTGAAAAAATGTTGTTTACCATTTCCAACACTCAAGTTTGCATGTTTTGAAGATAATTTTGGTACTTTCCTGTTAAAGGAAACATTCATTATTATCGATGATTTTTTTTTATGTATCAATATTTTTGTTTTCCGATCCATTACAAATTGACAACTGATCTTGTTTAGGCTAAAATAGTCTATTATATTATGGATTATGAAATGACACTGTTCTAAGCTAACCTAACATAACCAACCAAACTTGCTGTACTATTTAAAAATTCCTTTTTGATAACAGAAAAGGCAAATTAAACACGGAAATTTTAAATGTTACACAGCAAGTTTGGTTAGTTATGTTATGTTATTTTTTTAAATAGTTTCATTTCATTATTGTTTGTTGATACTGAACAATATTTATCGTAGTTGTCAGCTGATATGTTTCAATTTGTTAATATCGGTATATCGAGAAAAATTCATCGATAATAATGAATGTTCCCTTTAACAGGAAAGTACCATAATTTTTTTATTGTCTCTCTTGCAACCAACTTTTAACTCCACATGCATTAAAATAATTGTCCACTCTAACGTTTATTTTTCCTTGTGAATCAGATTCCATTTACAGTTACACCAATAATTCCATAGCACTGCAACTAATTTTCCTATTTTCATGTCTCAAACTAAATCAAAGCACTCTTTATTGACCACTATTTAACAGCCAATCAAGAAAACTGAAGTGAAAGGTAAATTTTTTTTAATACATTATCTGTATCTCGTGGATTAGATTAGATTTTTTTTTACAATGTGGAAATATTAGCGTATATTAAATTTATTTACAATTTATTTGCTATGTAGTTATTTAATTTCTGCTGCTTGTCATTAAATGTATGTTAAAGTGTAATTAATAGCTTCAAATTTTGGTTTTCAGTGTTTTAGACATATTGTTATTTTTTAGCCTCTCCATTATTTTTAGTATGCAGTCATCAATTTATAGGTAGATCATTGTAACGTTAAATCGAAAGTTAAGTTTAATTTCATTACGAAAGGTAAGTATACTATTCCAAAATATGAATGTTTTTAAACCTTATTGATCAGTGTCTTTTATTTTATTAATGTAACCTTTATTTGATTATTATTTAAGAAAGTCATTTTTTAAATATTTTTGTACCTAAATGCGAAGAGTTAGTTTTAACACATTAGAGTCCTTTTTTATTTCACTCACACTATTTCTCAATCATTTAAATAATAATAAATCAACAGTGTATTATGAAGAGGAATTTTTTTATGGAGCTGAAAACATTTTTTATAGGCAACGTTACTTAATATACATTGTTATTTTTATTGAACAGGTAAAAATGTAGTCTGAATCTTATGATCATATATTAGGTATCAAACCTTCTATGAGTTTGGTAGCCTATAATCTTCTATTTTGCTCCTTAACTTTGCGGCGTTAGTGTTGTGAGTACCTGAGGTGTTAGTACAAAATATTCAATATTTTTATTTTTGATTTTAAAAGTTTCCTTCACTGTACAATTGTACATGGTAAATATTTTTTTAATCATTTACACTTCCCTACATTATTAATGTTTGGTTGCTTATTAACGGAATATGTTAGTAAGATTGAGAAAGAATAGCTTATGTTAGTATTAATAACCATGCTCCTTTTTGGCTCCGAAACACTTTTTCCTTATTTACAAAACTCATTTTCATTGTGTTACTTTAGTGACAAGATCATCCATCGCCTTTATTTCCTGTTAGCATTTTCGTTTTACTGCCGATGTTGTCCGAGATATTTTCAAGCATGTTTGTTCAGGCAAGAGATGGCAAAACATGACATATTCCCAGCAGCTGCAGATTCAGGTGGAAAGATTGATGGAAAGTACGTAACCAAGCTCAGGTGAGCCGTCCAATCAAATCATCAGCGAAACTTATTTTGTGCTCGTCCTGTAAAGATTTGGTTAAGCTTCGTATTTGGTAGAAATAATAAAGCCATGTTAAAAACTGAAATAGGGTGTATTGGTACTTTACATTAAATGATTGCAAGCTAAGTTAGGTTCATCTGTCAATAGTCGTATGTAGTCAAGACATTGATAAGTTGGTGACCCCCGAATTTCTACTTGATCAACTGTAAATTGTAGCCAAAGATTACAAATATCTTGTATCCTTGAACTCGTTAATTTTTAAACTAAGAGCTTTCTAGATTATCATAAACAAGTAATCTAAAATTATTTATTCATTAATGTACATAATTAAAATAAATTTTGCGTATTCAAAAAAAAATTTAAAAAATGGTTTTTGACGAACCATCTAATAATAGCACAATTAGTTTTTTGATATGTTTAATATTATTATTCTAACTCAATACATAAAATGTAAAGTGATTCTTTTGGTTTATTGGAGAATTGGTTGTGGTTATAATCCTTCCCAGTAAATATTTATTTATAGCTATCGACAATTAACATTCTCTCATGTAAAGTTATAAATTTACAACAAATACTATACAACAAATACTATGTATGCAAAATTTTAATTACCTGCAAACTATTTTCACTCAATAAAAATTATTTTCCTCAAACTCATTACTTATTCAATCATTATTTCACTTTACATTTGCTTTTTATTCTCTAGAGGGTTGTGGGGCTAAACAATATTCAATTTTTAAGTTTTCCCGATGCTTTTTCATGTAGGCTAATTTATTTCAATTTGCACTAATATTACCTAATTCAAGGATAAAGGAGATTATCCATTTTGTATCATCAATTTGGTAAGTACTGTTCTTATTGTAAATAATATAATGTTATGTAAATTTGTTTTTAATTTTTTCTCATTTTATTTTGCTTTTGCTGATGATTTGTGTTGGATGCTTTTACTGTTTTTCTTTTGCACGTTTCTTGTTTTACCAGTGGTGGTGGTTGCTCATTTTCTCTTCTGGCCTTTGATCACGTAAGCAAACTTCTCCTTCTCAATTACATCATTACTGTAATTTTGATCCCTTTAAGTAATATTAATGTATAGTTTACACATAAAATTATGATATCAGTTTTGTACTTTCAGTTGGTTATGTTCAATTAAAGTTATTTACAGTTTTGTTTATAAAAGGGTGATGTTTTGTTTTATTATGATTTTTTTTTCTTTTGATATAATTTTTAAGCCAATTAGAAGCTAAAGCCGGGTGTTCCTAGGCGCGGAATTGGAGCGCGTAATGCGGAGAGCGTAATGCGGAGAGCGTAATGCGGAGAGCGTAATGCGGAGAGCGGACTCCACTTGTCTTAGGCAATTTAATCTTGCTGTTTTCCAAGAAGCGGAGCGGAACACCATGTTAATCACTTTTCAGCGCTCCTTTTCCGCGCCTAGGAAAACCTGGCTTTAGTAGGAGTATTTAAAGGATGAACTATCAATTGCATATGAATAAGTTCATGTTCAGATAGTGCAGTCTTAAATAACTATGTTTTTATTTAGATGCAAAGTAAAACATGAATGGAAGAAACGGAAATAATATTACTCAATAAACAATGAAAGGAAAATAAATAAATTTAAAGAAATGATTTTTTTTACAGATTTTGTTAGAAAAATTTTTAACCTCCAGGTTTTTAAAATTTTAAATTATTGTATCCGGTACTTATCATCACAATTTTAATATTTGGTTAAAAAAGATTAATTAATTTTAACTAGATTGGAGTAATTATGTCAGAACCTGTCAACTCTAAAAAAAGAATTATAAATTTTCACATTTTACATTTGACCTACTATGAAAATTCAGCATTCTAATTCTTTATTGGAATTTATCCCGAAATATGCCTTATTTTTGATTGTATAAAGCAAAAAAATTATTACAAACGAGAACATATATTTCACGTTCAGTGCAAAACTTTTAATCATTTTTAGCCTCTGGATCACCTTTTTAAACCTGGTGGTGTACGTCTAAGCTTAAAATGAAGAAACTCAAATTAAAATATTCATACCCTCTGACAGATGAAGCCGACATGGACCGCAGCTTTAAGCTGCCGTCAACGACATTCATCGGAGGCAAGGAGAAGTCGTTGCCGCTGAGAGAGATTCTCCGCCGCCTGGAACAGACGTACTGCCGACACATCGGAGTGGAGTTCATGTTCATCAATTCCCTAGAGCAGTGCAACTGGATCAGACAGAAGCTGGAGACTCCCGGCATCATGGAGGTTACAAAGGACGAGAAACGACTGTTGTTGGCTCGACTCACTAGGGCTACCGGGTAGGTTGTGTCTGAATATGAATTGTTGAGTAGCAAGCTCCCAATAGCTGTACAGGCTCTTGTGCTCACTATGTAGCTTAATCTGAAAGTCAATCCTGAAGAATGGTTAGAAGTCAATGTTTTAGCAGTGGCAAATCCCAGAACTATTTAACCTAATACTGCAATGTGGTCACTACACAACGCATGATTTAACTTTTTCGCTAAAAAATGTAATCCAAGTGTTGTTGCAGATTTGAAGCGTTCCTCGCCCGTAAGTGGTCCAGCGAGAAGAGGTTTGGTCTGGAAGGCTGTGAGATCCTCATCCCAGCCATGAAGCAAGTGATTGACAAGTCTACAGAGCTGGGAGTGGAGAGTGTAGTGATGGGAATGCCTCACCGTGGCCGACTGAACGTGTTGGCCAACGTGTGCCGCAAGCCATTGGAGCAGATCTTCACACAGTTTGCTGCTTTGGAGGCTGCCGACGATGTGAGTTAACTGTACAGACTTAATGTTGGTATGCTATTGTTTTATTGATTCCCTTTGTCCATCAATCCATTTACATTTGCATACAAATTGGAAAGTTACCATTTAATGATGATTTCTTAGTTAGAAATGGACATGCTTGATTTATTTTGTTGTCATTGGAAAAAATATTTGATGGAATTTGTTGATTGCCAGTCTAACTAATCTACTTTTTGGACATAGTAGTATATGAAAAATAAAACTATGTCTAAGGTTGTAATACTTCACAAATTGATATAAATAAAAAAATCCTTATCATAAACTGAAAATATAAACACATTATTCTGTGTAGAATATAAAATAAAAATAACACAATTCAATGAGAAGAATAAGCATAAAGATTAAAGCCCAACTTGAGAAAGTGTGGTCCAAGATTCATTCCCAGTCTTTGTCATTTTTTAATCCAGACTGAGCTTTTCTGAGAAGGTTGCATTTTCACAACTGGTGAAGGACACGCCTGATTACAGTTCTGAATTAGGTGCAAAAGTTTTAATTTTTACAGTACTTATATTACTTGCAGTGTTTTAGTCACTTAATATTTATTACGTTAAAATAATCTTGTTCCCCTTCAAACACGTTGCTTACTGTACACTACTTCTCTTGGGATCTGAACTAATGCTGATACACCACCAGCCCAATAAATCCTGACATATCTAACTGGTTATTGCAGACTTGATTAATAAAAACCAAGTTTTCACCTCTTTTCGGGATCTGGAATCTGATCTTGTTCTCAAGTGAGAAAATATCAAAAGAATACATTATCCCTTATCAACATATAAAAAATATGCAAATATGACCGTGGAAAACAGAGAGTAATATGTGAATTTCTTCAAGTTTTAGGGTGAACCATTGATAGCTTATAAAGATCTATTATTTCCTTTACTTAAGTTAAGAATAAGTTAAGCGACAGGAAATATCTTGTGGAAATTCTTAAAATACCAGCAAGAAAATATGGGAATCATACAAGAATTTTTAAAAGGCAGTTTTTGAGACACCCTGAGTGTCTCCAGAGATCAGACTCTTCTTAAGTACCTACCGCCTGATCTTCAGCTCTTCTAAACACATGTTGTGTTGTAGGGTTCAGGAGACGTCAAGTACCACTTGGGAACGTACATTGAGCGTCTGAACCGTGTGACCAACAAGAACATTCGTCTGGCCGTGGTGGCCAACCCGTCACATCTAGAGGCTGTAGACCCTATTGTGCAGGGCAAGACACGGGCCGAGCAGTTCTACAGGGGCGATGGCGAGGGAAAGAAGGTAAACTGTCCACGCCAGCGGCTTTTAAGGAATCAAAAATGTTTTTAAGAGAAAGCCGCCCTAACCCATAAATTGTTTTTGGATCACAAGAATCGAATGAGTCCCGTTTGCTTAAAGATGCTAACCACTTGGCTTGTATCACACCCAAACACTTTTAGTTACAATGCTTATGCAAATATAGTTTAGGAGAAAACATTAGCAACAGCGGAGGTTTGACTTATGTATTTGAATTTTCTAGCCTTAAAATGATGATAAGACAGAGTCAGTTCTCGTTAGTAGCATCCATGGCATTATTACCTGTGACCTGAGTTGAAGCAGGAAGAGCTACTTTCTTGTTATTGTTGATTTTTAACAAGTTTCATAGTTGTTTTAGGTATCCTTAAATGCACTTTTATCTCTCTACTTAATGACTTAAAAAACTAATTGTATCATTAATAAGAGTTGCAAATTTGTTGTCTGTAAAATGTCTTTGACTATCTATGTTTGGCGTTTGACTATCTTTTGATTATTTTACTCCCTGCTTTGATACAAAGTAGGGATAGACGAGATTGAAATTTTAGTTCGAGACGAGGCGAGACGAGATTTTTTATTTCTCATAAAATTTCGAGACGAGATCGAGACGGGATTTCCCTTCTCATACACAACGGGAAATGCACGTTCAAAATTTTTACCTGATTTTGTAACATTGTTAGATGACTGTTTAAATACAAAAATAATGATAATAGGCAAGAATATTTACAATCTTTTATTAAAAAACATCAGCATAACATTTTTTTATTAATCACGCCTAACTTATTAAAAATGCCTACGATTAGGAAACATAGTGATATCAGTTAGGATAGAGTTCAACTTATCCTAAAATAAAATAAATCATAAAATAAAAGCAATATTAATTTTTATAAAATAGTTACTTGTTTTGACTTTTTATAGTAATAAAACATTCCTCACGCTGCTTACACTTAACAAAACTTCTCAAATGTTATTAAAGTAATATTATTAAAATAATTAAAGTAATATTTACATTTATAGAATTAATTAAATAAGAACGCCTTCGCAAAGGAAACGCAACTACAACACGCTCCTGTATTGCGGGTATTGCATTGACTTTCTGCAGGCGTTTTTAATTTTTTTTTTTTTTTTTTTTTTTTTAATTCTCGTCTCGATAAAAATCTCGGCCAAACAGAAATCTCGTCTCGTGTAACGAGATTTAAAATTTCCCGAAAATTTCCCGAAATTTCGAGACTTGACCATCCCTAATACAAAGTATTATTATAATAGACGTTTTTTATGAACCTGCCTTTTTCCAGAGTAAATGAACTTTACTTGCTGTGACTTGGAAATTCATAAGCTGTTTAGATTAAATTTTGTTTAAGGAAAGGCTCTAGGCCAGGATTTTAAATTGTAGAAAAAGGAGGATAGCAGCTAGCTTACCTTGAAAGTGTGAGTAGGCCATAGAACAAGTAGAAAAACATTTTGCACACAATATTTCGTCCCCTAAGGGACTTTGTCAAGTGTAGAGAGAGTTTAAAATTACAAGATGGCTGCTGTCATGGCTGATGGCTGTTGTCAACTATTTATAGACCGACACTACCTACTGGTAGTGAGGTAGTGTCGGTCTATAAATAGTTGACAACAGCCATCAGCCATGACAGCAGCCATCTTGTAATTTATAAACTCTCTCTACACTTGACAAAGTCCCTTAGGGGACGAAATATTGTGTGCAAAATGTTTTTCTACTTGTTTAGATTAAATGTGATTTGCTTTGTGTCAACCTAAACTCTATGGTTAAGCTTTGGTAAAAGAACTATTGCAAACAATTTTACAAGTTGATTTTAATACTAGGCAGGTTTAGTTCAATGGTTTTTATATTTTGTTTTCTTACTCACAAAATAATAAATGTTTACAAAGCAGTTAAAGTACTCAGTTTAATGTATGTGTGCATAGGTGATGTCCATCCTCCTCCACGGAGACGCAGCGTTCTGTGGCCAAGGAGTGGTGTTTGAGACATTCCACTTGTCTGATCTGCCTGACTACACGACTCACGGCACAGTGCACATTGTGGCCAACAACCAGATTGGCTTCACCACTGACCCCAGACACTCGCGATCATCACCTTACTGCACTGGTAACTACCGCAAACTCATTTACTGGTCTAACTTAAAACTACAGGTGTGAGAGCTGCTTGATTTTCCAGTCAACGAGTCTAGATTATTAGCATACCTTGAGAGATTGCAGGATAGGTCAGAAAATCAAGCTTGAGTCGAGTTTTTACCGCAGAATACATCCTCGAACATCGGTTAATCAAAAATGAACACTTTTACCGTGATTGCACATGATTGCGGGAGACAATGATGATGTTTCCATGACCTTGGGCTTTGTTCAGAATTTTACCACAATTTTAAAAGACTGATGGTGTCTACACCACAGTGGGACATGGTCAAGATTTTGCTGTCATCCAGAGGGATAAGGACAATCTTTCCATGATTGCAGGAAACGATGATTTCTACACGACCAGAGGAGCTAATGCAAAATCTAAAATTGAGCTTCGCAAGATTTAAAAATCTCAGGCTCGCACTCCTCTATTTTAAACTTTAAACCTATTATAATTAGTTTTCATGGAGTTGCTAGAAGAACTAGTCGTGCAAAGGAAATCAGGGATTTCTCTCTAGTCTATTCTCTAAAAGAGTTTTCCACTAGGGAAAAATATTAGCGTTATATGACCTTTCATGGAAATTAGGATTACCAAGACTCCTAATTTTCCTAGGTCAAGTAACCTGAACTTTCTCATTCCAAAAATAATTACATTCTATGTTTTTCTTACCATAATCTGACCTGTTACCAGACGTGGCTCGTGTGGTGAACGCCCCCATCTTCCACGTCAACGGAGACGACCCCGAGGCTGTGATGCATGTGTGCAACGTGGCCGCCGAGTGGCGTAACACCTTCCACAAGGATGTCGTCATCGACATCGTCAGCTACCGACGTAATGGCCACAACGAGATTGACGAGCCAATGTTTACACAGCCGCTCATGTACAGCATCATCAAGAAGACACCCAATGTCCTGGAGAAATACTCCAGTCAGCTGGTCAACGAGGGCGTGGTGTCTGAGGATGAGGTCAAGGTAAGTTATCGTTAAAGCTCTAACAAATACCTCTTTTTAAAGAACGCCATTTAACCAAAACCCAAGTTAACTGGAACCTTAAAATAAAGGAGTTGGAAAAAAGATAAGTAATGGGAATGGTCAGCAGTGGTGCAGGTAGCCGTGGTGCCTGGCTTTGCCAACTGAATGTAATTGAGCAAATAAGACATAGATCTCGTATCGTGATAGTAATAAAGATCAGAAAACGACTGTTGATTCTTTAGTTAAGTAGATTTTTACCATACCTAAAATAACATAAACATGATTTTTTGCATCTTTTTAATAGCAATTGCCATTTAATTCCATCCATTGACCAACCGAACCAATAGGTTATACGAATCAGCCAACTTGCTCCTTCATTCTTTAAGCTGATCGGGGGAGTTTTGGAAATCACATTAAGTATATCAACCTTTTAAGAAATTTGTGTGTAAAGTGCTAGAATTCAGCGAGCTTACATGGGAAAATAAGGGTCCAGAGGATTAAAAACACAGATCACTGATGTTTTGTCCTTGTGTAGGATGTCTTCAGAGAGTACCAGATAGAACCGATAGAAGGACATCATCAAGTCGCACAAAACTTAAATTAAAACATCACTAGAATAGTCACGTCACAGATTAAAAAGTACATAAAATATCTAACATAAACACTGAACAATAAAACTATCGGCCTACTTTAAGAAATATTGATGGTGTGCATATGAAAAACGCTAAGTTTTGACTGGATGATGATGTTTTCAAGAGCTGACCTTTGTCCTTCAGCCACTCATTCAAGTCTTTGTGCAATTATCTTGATAGGCTATTACTATTTTAATCATCGATAAATGTCAGTCTATTCCTAGAGTACACAAATCACTAGGCAGTAACAGGTATTGCAATCTTTTAAACAATTTTAAAATACTAAGATTCATTTTGTGTTCAGGACGTAAAGGAGAAGTATGACAAGATCTGTGAGGAGGCGTACAGCAACGCCCGCAAAGAGACCCACATCAAGTACAAGGACTGGCTCGACTCTCCCTGGTCTGGCTTCTTTGAGGGCAAGGACCCTCTGATGGTGTCTCCCACGGGAGTCAAGGAAGACACTTTGGTGCACATCGGCAAACGGTTCTCCTCTCCCCCACCCAACGCTGCTGAGTTCGTCATCCACAAGGGTAAGTTACAGAAGTTAAAAAGTTATTAAATTCCATGTTGATGGCCCCTGGATTACTGAATATGACTAATAATGGTACAATACCTCGTCAAGTAATCCAAATGTTGATTGAGGTTAACAACCCTCCAAAGCAGAATGGTTCCTACGTGTCTGCAACGGCCTGTGAAAACCTCAAAATGTGTCCGCAAGCGCTAAAACTAAAAAGCTAAATAATGACTTATATACCGGTATATATATATATATATATATTCACTCTTTAGGGCTACTAGTAATATAGTTAAATAAAATAAGTAAATTTCAATAACGTGTATAGCCTACTTTTAAAACAAAAAACTAAAAAAACTATTAAGGGGTAGGCATAATCAGGTTATTTAAATTACCTTTTTTTTAAATACGTATATATATATACACATACCTTAACAAGTGTTAACAAGGTCTTCAGAAGTAAAACTTTAAATGTACTATAGTTTCTTTATATAAACACACTAGGGATAGACGGGATTGAAATTTTAGTTCGGGACGGGACGGGATTTTTATTTCCTTCCCGATTTTCGGGACGGGATGGGACAGGATTTTTTTCTGTGCATAAAAAAAGTAATGTATTGCAGTTACCAAAAAAGACATACAAAATCAATTTTTACCATTTGTGGCACTGATCTATAAAAACCAAAAAATGGGTAACAATTTACAGGTACCTATAGAAACATGTGACTCGCGGGTCACGGGGTGATCGTCTGTAGAACTCACGGTCACGGCGAGATCGTCGTCATGACTCGCAGTCACGGCGCGATCGTCGTCATGACTCGCGGTCACGACGCGATCGTCGGTATGACTCCGCGGTCACGGGGTTATCGTCGGTATGACTCCACGGTCACGGCGCGATCGTCGGTATGACTCCGCGGTCACAGGGTTATCGTCGGTATGACTCCACGGTCACGGTGCGATCGTCGTCATGACTCGCGGTCACGGCGCGATCGTCGGTATGACTCGCGGTCACGGCTCGATCGTCAGCATGACTCCGCCATCACGGCATGATCGTCAGTATGACTCCGCGGTCACGGCGCGATCGTCGGTAGGACTCTGCGGTCACGGCGCGATCGTCGGTAGGACTCCGCGGTCACGGGGTTATCGTCGGTATGACGTCACGGTGCAATCGTCGTCATGACTCGCGGTCACGGCGCGATTGTCGGTATGACTCGTGGTCACGGCTCGATCGTCAGCATGACTCCGCCATCACGGCATGATCGTCAGTATGACTCCGCGGTCACGGCGCGATCGTCGGTAGGACTCTGCGGTCACGGCGCGATCGTCGGTAGGACTCCGCGGTCACGGCGCGATCGTCGGTATGACTCGCGGTCACGGTGCGATCGTCGGTCCAATAATCGCGGTCACGGTGCGATCGTCGGTCCAATAATCGCGGCCATGGCGCGATCGTCGTTATGACTCCGTAAATGTGTCCGCAGGCCCGCGTTTCTCGGCGTTTCGTGTCCGCGACAATGTCGCAGCGTCGCTCGTTGTTCTGCTTTGGGGTAACAACCTACATGTTTCGCCGTAAATACAGCATCGTCAGGGTTACAAAAACGAAGACATCGATGTCACACGCACACAATAAATACACGAATACATTTAACTACGGAAAGTAAACATTTAATTAACTGCAGGTAGTAGACTGCAGTGTCAGACTCCTTCCTTGTTGTTGTCCATGTTATCAGTAGGACAAAGGTCAGGTGGCCGGTTATTTTGGTGAATTAGCACATTGAAAATAGAGTGTGACTGGAACTGTAGTTTTTCGTTGAGGATATGTCCATAGGCGGTGTTGTCGCGGTATAATTTGTAAATTTCAAATTCCTCTAACGTGTTTAGTTTACTACCTTTCCTGCATTTATGCTGGGCTAACGCTGAATTTTGTTTAATTAAACGTGGTTTGGGCCTGTGTTCGTTGTAGCGAGTAGCGAACCCACGACCTGTTTGCCCAACATATTGGCTCGGACAATCTTGGCATTTGATTTTGTAAACACCTGTCATTTTCATTTTATCTCTTGATCGGTCAGTTTGTGACAGGGTGTTACGAGTATGGTTTGTAGTTTTGAATGTTAATTCGATTCCCTGCCTACGAAGCTCTTTGGATAGGCAATTTTGTAGTGTGTGGGAATATTCAATACATCGTATTTACGGCGAAACATGTAGGTTGTTAACCTCAATCAACATTTGGATTACTTGACGAGGTATTGTACCATTATTATAGTTAAAAAGTTGTATATGGTGACTTTCGCTCCAATTTTTTTTTTTTTACATTCTGAGGGTCTTTTTGTAAGGATTAGCCAGTTGTGTAAACTCAAATCGCTCCAGTTATCCAATGTCACGTAGCTGGACTCCAAGAGCGTGTATATGAAATCTATATAATTAATACGCTACATGAAACTTTGTCGGTTGAACTCCTCCGCCATTTCTTAACCGATTTTATCCATTGACGTCTTATTGGAAAGAGCGTGTCGCGTAGATTTGCAAACTGGCCTTACATTTTTGAAAAAGTCCCTTGGGCTCTGCCCAGTGGCTTTGAAAGTTCCCATGTTATCCTTATGGAGAACATAATTTTTTACATTTTGATCAGCTGTATAATATAATTGCTGTTATTTATTTTTCAATTCAATGAAACCCATTGAGTACATTTATTTACTATTTGAGTTTGTGTAAACATAACCCCCAAGACGGATCGTGTTAGTATGGTAGTATCTTAAATTAGTGTATTTATCGTTGTTTTGTGGCGCTATGACGGATTGTGTTAGCATGATTGTATCATTTGTGCATTTATCGTTGTTTTGTGTGGCTATAATTTGTTTATTTGTTGTTTTTCCTTTTAAATGCCTCCGACGCGACGACAACGAAACATAGACAGCGCAGCTACAGAACAGTGGCGCGTAATAGGCTTAACTCATCACAGTCAGCACCTGACCCTGGACAATCTCAACTATTAGGTTACAAATGCGCCCTAACACTACCCCCAAACGACTTTTCGTTCTCAATTAACCCTCTATCAATGACCTGTGTTGCTTGTACAGCGAGGCATTTTGAGAAGGAGAAAACCGGCCAGAATGCTTTAGGTTTATCAAATACTAAGATAAACATGGCCTGAGTTACACACCGGTAATCTTTGAATTGACTCTTTTAAACTCATTGTAAATATGACTGTTATTCGTTTTGAAATAACTCCTGTAATACTTTGCAATTGCTCGAATTCGAGCAACATGTACACTAGTATAAAATTAATTAAAGTACACCATTACTCATATTTTACACTAAAATGTTTATGTAACCAAACTCAACATTAATATGTTTAGATATATTTTAATTGTATAACATTTATTAAGCTGGAAGAGTGTACTTTCGACGCAGAAAATGTTAATGCTTAGATAGCATAGACTAGTGATTGCGTCAGTTTTTGCAACAGCCCTACAAGCAGTCAGTCACAGAAAAGTATTTGTAGGGCTCAGTTGTCTGCGGATTTTCTGTCTCTCTTTCCCCCAAAACCTAAATAACCAAAATCATGAATATTTAAATTGGCTATCCTTGTTGCCTTCCTTTGTCCTAGTCAGTTCGTTCTTTAGAAAATTCAGATTTAAAAACATAATCATGCTGGAGGAGTGAGCAATTTTCTGAAATTCAAGGGTTTGTCCATTGTTAATTATTTGTGATTTGTGTGAAGGTATCGAGCGTATCTTGAAGGCGCGTATGCAGATGGTGGAGTCGCGCACAGTTGACTGGGCGTTGGCCGAGGCTATGGCGTTCGGCTCCCTGCTCAAGGAGGGGATCCATGTCCGACTGAGTGGACAAGACGTAGAGAGAGGCACATTCTCACATCGACATCATGTGCTACATCATCAGCATGTTGACAAAGCCACCTACAGGTGCAAACTAGAGTCATTCAGTTTAATTTTTCACACTTTTTCATTTTGTTATTTTCGAAATTTATACTTAGGGCCTAATAGTTTCAAATCCACAGGGCATCAACTTGCAGAGGATCTTTCTAACCATGTATGGTTATGGTGTCTAACAAGATATGCGAAGTGAAGTTTTTTATTTTAGTTTTTAAATAAAAATAATGATTTTACTTGACTTTTTTTACTTGAGTGAAATTTTTGAGGATTCTTCTCTCAAAGAAAAATAACAAACACTATTCTGATGCAATTTTGTCATTTGTATTTCACACTAAGACTAGAATTAGTTTGTAGGTATATTATCAATATACATCGATAAATGTATCAACCACCAGATGAATTGATTCATCGGCCAATTGTATGTTTTTTTTTTATTTGCTACTCCTTGTCTCACATATTTGTTTAAAATAGACAAATTGCACACTAAAGCATCTGCTCTACGTCCACGACCAAGCTAAGAGAAAGCAAACGGGGAGTTTCTTCTTGGCAAGCATGTTGTTCTTGCCCTGCCCCACCATTGTTTTTACTGATCAATATAAACAATATAAAGGTGTTTTTGCGAAGCAGTAATGGAATCGTACACATTTTTATCCTTCATCACTCTCTTGGACTTTTCAAGAATTTATCTCTTTCTTTGATCCTGTCGTCCTTAAAACCAATCTGGCGCATTCCTGTTCCTGATTGCCGAACCATGTCTGTTTATTTACATACTAAACTTTGCCTGTTGAAATACAGGAATTTCATTTAATTTCAATGAAACACTCAAAAGTAATTTTTGAAAGAGTATCACAGGAATACAGAACTGTGTGTTACTCCTGTGAAAAGGAAAGTAGACAATTAAGAATGTATATAAAAAAGAAAATTTAATACAAATTATATGTAGCAATGGTTTGAAAGATTGTTGTTGGTATAGCAGACTTAACTGATAAAGGAGAAGCCACTCTGGCAAAAGAAACACTAAAATTGTTTACTGAACAAAAAAACTATCTCCTTGACAGAGTTTACAACAAAGAAAGGTCAAGCGAAGAAGCACTGACAGGAACTTCAATTTCGAACCTCTCTTTTTTTTACACTTTCAGTGGTAGTGAGATGTCTAAATGTTTTTGCACTTTAGGGCCTATAAAGGTTTGTGTGTGATCTTGTTTGGATGCTTCCCATTCAGGTAACTCTGCAACCTCAACGACAATCTTTATAAATACTCCTTTGTGTCCTGTGTTATGTTATAATGAGGTTGTTAAGTCTATGTGTGTTTTGTTGACAGACCTCTAAGTGCGTTGTACCCTGACCAAGCCCCTTACACTGTGTGCAACAGTTCTCTCTCAGAATACGGAGTCCTGGGTGAGTCAACAGCACTATTAGTAGCTAACACTATTAGTAGGCCTACAATGGTTTACCACTTTTTAAGAGTGTTGCATTTAAATACTAATGCAAATGATCCAAAGTAAATAGTGGTTTTTTGAGAGGAAAGCAGGCTTAACCTAATGGGAAAGAATGCAAACTGGCACAGGAAACACAAAACTTTACACTTTATACACAAAACTAGAATATTTCACTGTCAATGACAGCATTTTCAACTAAGGAGAGAGTTTTCATTATGTCCAAAATTATGGCCAGTGAGCTGTTGAGACAGTGTTGCCAATAGTATGAATTCAAAAAATACTGTTTCAGTTTATCTTATATCACTATATACATGAATAAGTATGTAAGCCTGCTTGTTGGGTTGGATGTTGAAGTGGAGTGGGTTAGATGAAAGGTGTTATCCAACCCAACAAGCAGGCTTACATACTTATTCATATATATAGTGTTAGTGTTTATAAAATAAACTGAAACAGTATTTTTTTTGAATTCATACTATTGGCAACACTGTCTCAACAGCTCACTGGCCACCATTTTGGACATAAAGAAAACTCTTATCTTCCTTAGTTGAAATTGCTGTCAGTGACAGTAAAGTATTCCAGTTTTGTGTATATAGTGTAAAGTTTTGTGTTTCCTGTGCCAGTTTGGACTCTTTCCCATTCAGGTAAGCCTGCTATCCTCTAATAAAATCCTAAAAACCTAGGCCCTTGTGCTCTATGTCACACCCTCAAAGTAAATAGCGGGTTTGAGGTGAGTTGGTGGCTCAGTCAGTAACGTCACAGATTTAACTGACACGATAGCTTGTAAATTTTGATAAATAGCTTGTTCATTACAGTTTAAATTCTATTAGTCTTTTATACCATCTGAAAGGTGAGGAAGGTGTTAACATGGGTATTGTGCCGCAGGTTTTGAGCTGGGTTTCTCCATGACCAACCCCAACGCGTTGGTGTGCTGGGAGGCTCAATTTGGTGACTTCAACAACACAGCTCAGTGCATCATTGATCAGTTCATCTCCTCAGGCCAAGCCAAGTGGGTGAGACAGTCTGGACTGGTCATGCTGCAGCCTCATGGACTTGAAGGTAACTAACACTGTTGCTGAATTATATGTTTTGTCATTTACTTCAATTAGGAAATAGGTCTCGGCATAGATTTTATGATTCTAGGGTAGGTAGACTAAATGAACTAGCTGTTTCCAATTTTTCATTAAAATAGTAATAAGCTTAAACCTTTGACTATTTATAGAACTAGAACCATGCCAGTGTTAAAACTGTCAGTTTTATATCAAAGTGAAAGTAGTTGAGTTGAGCAATCGAAAGAGTTGCATTGATGTAAATTGCTGTTTTTGGTCAAAAGTCAAATTGAGATTCCACTTCTTGTTAGATATCGCACTTTTTATGTCACATTAACTATGTCTTCAAAAACTAAGACAGAAAGTACAATTTGACACAGCAACACACCATGTAAATGGTTCATTCAACTATGATTATTTGAATGAAAAATAGGCTACAGTTGATCCGTATAGATAGGAAGTCTTCCTCTGTATCCAAAAGTAAATGGTTTAAACTGATTGTTTCTAATTCTATATACCCTTTCATGATTTGTATGTTTTCCTTATAGCTCAATTTTCTATTTTTAGTATTTAGATTCAAAGTTTCTGGTTTTGACCATCACACTGTTTGGATGCTGGTTCAATTGTGAGAAAATTTATAATAATTTAAATAGTTCGAAAGCTGTCCTTGATCATTGAGCTTTTAATTAATGATCCTGGTTAAAGATCCAGCTGATCTTAGTAAACAAAGCTGTCATCTGATCCATTCAACACTGCTCGTTCACTCATCTTTGCCTTAAAATATGCACTTTGGTGTGTCGGAATCTAACGAATCTAATCCAATCAAAACAAAAACAAATCTAATCCAATTGAAACAAACTAATTATGACTGACTGTTGCAGGCATGGGCCCTGAACACTCATCTGCCAGATTGGAACGTTTCTTGCAGATGAGTGCTGACGACCCCGACTACTTCCCTCCCGAGAGTGAGGAGTTCGCTGTCCGACAACTCCACGACATCAACTGGATTGTAAGTAACTGCAGTTAGAGTAGTGTCAAACTTTGCTTGAATTTCTCCCTTGTGTTCATGAAGAATGTTTTGTCTGTGTCATTTTGTATTTAAAAATGTTAAATGTTGAACAGTTCAAAGAAGAAATTAATGGTGGGCACTAGTTCTTACTTTAAAAAATTCATGTGATTGGACACAAGTTTTCTCAACCTGAATACATACAAACTCTGACCATATCTTGTGTTCACTTTATGTTTAAGAGACAAACTTTGAATAATTTCAACAAAACATTGTTCAATGTGTCACAGGTAGCCAACTGCTCCACTCCGGCCAACTACTTCCACATCTTGCGCAGACAGATCGCGCTGCCGTTCCGCAAACCACTGATCCTGATGACTCCGAAGTCCCTGCTGCGACATCCCGAGGCCAAGTCTAGCTTTGACTTGATGACCGAGAACACCCAGTTCCTCAGGTAAAGACTATTCGTCATCACATGCAGATTATTAATCTGTGTAGAACGTACAGGATAAAGGGTTTACACCTTGGTTGCAGATATTCCGTTTCATGATCGCCTTCCAGAAGTACTTTCTTTTTCCAGTGCTATATTATTTTTCTTGTCCTCAAAACTTAGGTTTCTCTGTCTATGCATCACATGAGTCGGTTCGTTTACCTTAGCTCAACCTAAGGTACAAAATTGAATCACAACTGAGGCTAGTTCCCCAAGACATTAAAAAAATTATAATCAATTTTTGAAATACATCCCAACTTTGAAGGTTGTGAAAGTATAAGTAGCTGTGACTTGGCTGTTACAGAGTGATCCCTGATGAAGGACCAGCGGCCGAGAATGCAAACTCTGTCAAGAAGCTGGTGTTCTGCTGTGGCAAGGTGTACTACGACCTGAAGAAGGCGAGGGATGAGAGGAAACTGAGCGACACTGTCGCCATCGCCAGGGTTGAACAGGTGAGTCATGAAACATTTCAAAGTAGAACAACCATTGTCACATGTTGTCAAGAGTTTTGCCCTGGACTGAACTAGAAATTCCATCCTCAATAAAGTTGTTGGCAGTTTTAGAATCAAAGTGGACGTAGTTGAACTGAGCCAGTAACAAAACTGATGCGAATTAACGATTTCTGTTGAATATACAAATTGTTTACCAATTCAGGACGACTTTTAAGCTATAGCATCTTTTATGCCACGTCAATCTCAGAAACAAAAACTAAGGGAGAAAATATAATTTAAGAGTAAAGTGCATTCTGTGATTGACTCATTCCGCAGTTAATCCATGTAGATGGAATATCTACTTCAGTATCCAAAAGTCAATGGTTTTACCCAACATTTGGTTGCAAAAAAACTGTGAAAAGTCTCAAAATAGCTAGAGCTTAAACATGAAAAGTTAAAGAAGTAAATGATTTAAAAAGTTTCAATGTGGGAAGCACATTTTCAGATTAAAAAAAAATCTACTCGTAAATATAACACTGAGTTTATTACCTCTGTTGTAGATCTCTCCGTTCCCCTATGACTTGGTGAAGAAGGAGTGCGCCAAGTACCCCAACGCTCAGTTGTGCTGGAGTCAGGAGGAACACAAGAACCAAGGCTGCTGGACCTACATCCAGCCCAGGTTCCACACTGCTCTCAACGGAGTACGCAACATTGTGTAAGTAGTAGAGTACACCAGAGTCCCGCTAATCTAATCTGAACTAATTAGAACCCCCTGCAAAATTGCATTGAGAAAAACAACAATGTATGTCTGTAAATGGGCAAATATTGCTCCAACGCATTGATTGTCCACAATCACAGTATACTAAATCGTCTTCAATGATAGCTGAAATATACATCATTGTCTCCCTCAATAATGAATACCACTCGCAATTACCACAAAAAAGTAAATTTTTTATGATGCATCTTCATAGAGGCATTCTGCAGTCTCAAGTATTAAAGCTGAATCAGTTTGACCTAGCCAGAGTTTGGTCCAAAAATTATTTCCAGCACAAACTGAACCAAAAATATCAGATACCCTGGTCCCCTACTCCAGTGTTGGTGCACCAATTATTTCAGTATTGGAGTAGAAAAATTACCCAATGACCTTAAAAATTTGTGAAAATTCAAACTACTCTTTAAAGACATTTTTCTGATTATTATGAGGTTACATGAGATTGATGGTTGTTACAGGTACGCAGGACGACCAACCGCAGCCTCCCCGGCCACTGGTAGCAAGATGCAACACATGCGGGAGTTGGCTGCACTGATCGATGACACCTTGTCTACCTAAACCATTACTATTCCAACGTACGACTTGTTTCAAATTTTAGTGTAATTGATAAAAGAAAAACGAAAGCTATCAAGTTAATACACCACTATTCGTGATAGTAGATGTAGTTTTCACACACAAATCCCCAATGTTTCGGTTACGGCTATTTTGGAAAAGTGGTCCCGAAATGAAAAATTACGCTTCAGTATTGAACGGTCTTGGTCGCAACAAGTGACCTCTTGAGTTGTTGTATTTTTTCAGTATACATTATGTGCATAATATTTATTTTGTTTTTTATCGTTTAATTGTAGTTATGTAAAATATGATTGTGTACATAAATGTAAGTTACATTTTGAGGTGCGAATGAATGTAATTTTTGTAAGAGCTGTTGAAATTTTAAAATTGTTTGGTTAAATATTTTGTTGTGATGTAACGAGTATGTGAAATGTCAGGGATGGGGTTATGTATTCTCTTTCCCATATTTTATCTGATCAAACCATCACATATACCGGTTTGAGGGTTACTAAAATTCCGATTTAGTTGTTTTAGCCGCGTTTGTAATGTTAAGTTCAATTCACAGCTAACAATTTAGCAGGAATCTCTAAGCTCTGTCTGTGTTACCGATATTCCTTGTTTAGTTGCACCTCGGAGCAGAGTGCACATATTTTAGTTGTATTTAATTCTAGGTAATGACTGGTATTATTTGCTCTAAAAATTAATATATTTTGTTAATAGTTTAAAATTTCAGCTGTTACTCAAAATCATGTTATAGTTTTAAGCAATAAAGTTATTATTTATGTATTTTTGGAGTATGTGTTTTGCAAGTGAATGCCCTTTAAACCTTAGGGTTCATTGATTTACGTATGCCTTTTTATTATTGTTTTCCTCATCTTAGGAACGCATTATTCTTACCAAAATAGTTATTGGTGTACATACATGGGTTAACCTCTCGAGCTGTCGACCATTTATTTTAGTTAGTGATGGTCAAAACCAGAAATTTTGAGTCTCAAAACCTAAACCAAAACTTTAAAAAATTGAATCCCGAATCTCAAAACCTAAACGCGAAACTTTTTTTCTTAGCTGGTTACAAAGGTCAAGGTTACAAAAAAATACACATAATCATAAAATGTTAAGTATGCAATCAAAACTGAAAGAGATCGACTCCTGACCGTGGCATAACATAAATATGTGAAGTGAATGTGACTGATAATCTTAAAACCCAATACAACATAATTTTTTATAAAAAAAAAAAATTAAACTTCTAACACCAACCAACATTAACATGAATATTAGATTAATTAGAACATTTAGTGGTCAATTTTTCTTTGGATTTAGTAAATGTTGACGTGAAACTGAATTGTACCAGTTATATTTAAGATACCTTTTGAAGTTCAGAATAAAATTTACTTGTTTCATTACTGTTAATGGTTATGTTTGCTCTGTTTCTACCAGCTTGTTTGGAAACAGCATTGAAAACAATAACAATGGCACAAAAAAATGTCAGCAGTTTAAAAAATAAAACTGCCAAAAACTTTTGAATCTCGAAACTTGGTGATCGAATCTCGAAACCGAAACTTTTCCTAAGTTTTGATGGTTTTGAGATTTGAGATTCGGTTTTGACACATCACTATTTTAGATGTTAAATAACTCTTCAGTGACTGTTTGAAATTAATTCAAGATGACCAGCCTCCAAGAACTCTTAAATCATGCTTTAAAAAAAAATATCAGTGCTGGATTTGCGGGGGGCAACAAGGCAGGACGGAGTTCCGGTACCTCTCTTCCGGAAAGATAAAAACATTGGCATAAATAGGTACTAATCACATTAAATAGGTTACAGTTCTGGCACCTCATTTTTTACAAATCAAGCACTGGTTACCTTGGAATGTTAGTATTAGTTGTGATAATTATTGGTTCACACTAAGAATAAAAATGTTTATGAAGCAAGGAAAACTACAGTGTTCCATTATTATTTTTTATAGGATGCATTGCACGACGTCCAAGTGCCACGACGTCCAATAATATTTATTCAGTGCCACGACGTCCAAAACATAATTTTTGAGTTGTTGCACGACGTCCAAGTGCCACGACGTCCAAAAGTACAGTAACTGCCAAAAATACAGTCTTTCTACAAGCTTTGGACGTCATGGCACTTGGACGTCGTGAAACAGCGCACTATAGAATTGTAAAAAAGTAACATTTGCACGACATCCAAAGTCGCTGCCAGTTGCACGACGTCCAATAAATATTTGACTTGCACGACGTCCAATATAGCTCAGCGCTGTTGCACGACGTCCAAGCTCCTTCGTGATGACCGGTTACGATGACCGGCTACTTGCCGAACAGTGTTCTCTAATGTAAAATGCTTATGGAACCTTTATTAGTTATATACAGGGTGAATCTCGTAAGGTGTCCAGTATTGATTTTAGACAAACCGTTGGTCCTACGATGATGAAGTAAAATTATTTCCCACTAAACCAACCCCAAGGAATAACGTAAAAATATTTTTAACGATTTTTAAATACAGGGTGTACCAGAAACTGAGGGTCACTAGTCCGAATCTACGAAATATCAAATACAAACGTATATCATGTTATACATCAAATTAAAGCTCTTTTCAATCCAAACCATTTGGCAGAATCGGATTTTGATTATATTGATTCATTTCAAAATGACGGCTGTTTTTGTGAAAAAATTAATATTTTTTTGAATACCCTGTATTTTTCTTAAAAATGCAGATATCTTGATTCTGATTCAAATATCGCATTCCTTATGAGCTAAGCTTTATTTTGATATGCAACACATCAATATTATCTCTAAAACAAAAAGTTTCAAAAATATCAGTTTTTGAAAATATGTACATAGCCAAAACTCAAAAATTTCAAATAGCACCATTAGTCAAATAGCATATCATTTTAAAGGTATTGGAATTCTAAGAAACTTTCAAATTTAAACCTTATGCGTATCTATTTTGGTTTTCGAGTTATCAACAAAAAACATGTTTCCCCACATTAAAACGCATGTTATTTGTTAAACATGGTGGTAAAGGCTGGACCACACTTATAGCCGTCTGGCTGACGCACAAATAACATGAGTTTTAATGTGGGAAAACATGTTTTTTGTTGATAACACAAAAACCAAAATAGATACGCATAAGGTTTAAATTTGAAAGATTCTTAGAATTCCAATACCTTTAAAATGATATGCTATTTGACTAATGGTGCTATTTGAAATTTTTGAGTTTTGGCTATGTACATATTTTCAAAAACTGATATTTTTGAAACTTTTTGTTTTAGAGGTAATATTGATGTGTTGCATATCAAAATAAAGCTTAGCTCATAAGGAATGCGATATTTGAATCAGAATCAAGATATCTGCATTTTTAAGAAAAATACAGGGTATTCAAAAAAATATTAATTTTTTCACAAAAACAGCCGCCATTTTGAAATGAATCAATATAATCAAAATCCGATTCTGCCAAATGGTTTGGATTGAAAAGAGCTTTAATTTGATGTATAACATGATATACGTTTGTATTTGATATTTCGTAGATTCGGACTAGTGACCCTCAGTTTCTGGTACACCCTGTATTTAAAAATCGTTAAAAATATTTTTACGTTATTCCTTGGGGTTGGTTTAGTGGGAAATAATTTTACTTCATCATCGTAGGACCAACGGTTTGTCTAAAATCAATACTGGACACCTTACGAGATTCACCCTGTATACATGGGTATATGTTCTTGTTCAGAAATATATATACTATGAATATTTGTACCATTAATTGAAACATCATAAAGTAAAAAAAAAAACATAAAAAGAAAAAATAAACAAGGCAACAGTTGGAAAACTATAAGGTTTACATGGTTTGAAAAATTATGACATTTTGTTAACAACCGATAAACTTCATTATGTTTCAGTAAGCTTTTAAATACTTATTTTTTCAAGACTAGATGAATGTACATTGATCAACATGATCTTTGAAAACTATTTTTTATACCCTCATTTTAATTTTTACTAGTATAAAGAATAGAATGCCTTTTTCGAACTGTTTTTTAGGCTTCAATTAAATGTTCTTATGTCGCAAATATGTTTATTAATAGTATTCACTTAACATTGACTTAATTTTATTTCAATAAATTTTGTGTTTGTGTTTTGCTACACCAATGCAACAAAAAAAACCCCAAAATTTAAATTTATTTAATTTAAATTGCAACCAATGAGAATATCATATAAATAAGTAGTAAAAAAATATACAAAAGTACACAGGGTTCTTTTGTTTCCCCAACTCTAAAATACAACGCACATGAATTGAAAATGTTATAGGTTTTAATAGTACTGTAGCAAATCGAATATCAATAAAGTTAACTTATAAAACAATAAATTTACATATTCCTAGATTATAATTGAATGTGTTTACGAAGGAACACCACAGCCTCAAAATTCAACATTACAGTATATTTACTCAAGATTTATTGTTTTCATATAGCACAGTTGATGTTGCCACTTAGCGTGGGAGCGGAAGTCCTGATAAAGGCTGGTTCTCGGAAAAGTAATAAAACTTGTAGTTTGAATGAAACTTTTTTTTATTTTGTACAGGATTCATGGGATCCTCAGCATAAAGTACAAACCACATACAAACTGCAAAATGTGTGTCGAAGGTCTGATTAGACCTTCCGCGATTTAGACCTTCAGCAACTGATCCGTTTTTACCTTCTTTAATTTATTCTTTTTCATGTTGTGCTTCATGTAACATACATAGACTAGAGGGCCGCTCTAGCCCTTGACAAATAAATTAACATTTTCGCACAAATACAAATCAATATCGTCATTAGACATAAGTTAAGAAATAAAATTTATAAACAAAACCTACCACGGCATATTCTTGAACAAGTATGCCTACAAACCTACGATAAGCATGTTTGTTATTATTATACTTAACCTACAAATGCTATGACTTAGGGCATACCTGCTTTCCTACATAAAATATCCGAACTAATTGCGAGTGCAACGTGAACTTAGAAAAAGACTAGTAAGAATTTACAACTGTGAATTTATCAGAATTGATTGACAGTTCAGACGAACCTATGGCCACAGACTACGGAAACCTACAGTATTATTGTATTAGTATACTGTATTTGTATTATTGTGTTACTAGCAGAGTACCCGTCCTTCGTACGGGGTTGGCATATAAGTATAAATGATCATTGCAGTTATGGGAGAGGACACGATTTAAAAAAAAATGGTCTTTTAATTTATACGGTATCCTATAGTGTAGCACACATCTACCATAGTCCTGATGTTCTACCACTGCACCTAAACCATGGAAAAAGTAAAGTTCTCATTGTGTACCACAACTTCTTTTTGCTAGTTGGTTCAAATTAGCTGTGGTCATTAATGCAAACAAACAACATAATAGTGCTGCACCCTGTTTGTCAAGCCTTATAACTTTTTAATGCTGTTTAATATCATAGAACCAACTTGTACAGTTGAAACGGCTGACAAAATTCTTTAATTTCTTTTAATATGAATACTCATAAGGTTAACATGAGAAAGTCCAGAGCCAGAGCCACCGGGGCGGAGACTGAAAGAATTTTTGAGGTAAGAATATGTTAATCGGGGATCTCATCTATCATCATATCAAATTTCAACCTTGTCGGTTTAGTATTTTTCGCGTTTGCTTGTCACATATATCCATGTATCCATCCATACATCCATGGTTTGCACTGTAAACTTAAAGCTATCACAATAGTTCCAAACCGACAAATAGAAAAAAATAAATAAATATGAAAAATAGGGTAATTTTC